AGAAAGAAAGAAAGAAAGAAAGAAAGAAAGAAAGAAAGAAAGAAAAAAAGAGAAAGAAAGAAGGAAAGGAGAGGAACATTGGTCAGTGACACTGGTGATCATACTGTTGGCACAGGACATTAGTGACAGGATGAGCCATTGGTGAGGAGAGAGCCAGTGGAGACACTGGGGACCATGTTCTGTAGATGTCAGGCCCAGATGTACCACGGATCAGAGGCATTGGTGAAATATTGGCGACTGCTTGCTGGTGACCGGTTGTTAGCCATGAGATGTCTGGTGGCAGGCTCTGGCGATCAGATATGTCATTGATTAGGAACATTAGACATGGTGGCTTTCACTGATGACGATCACCAATCGACGATGACAGCAATCAATGACCTCAGTGATCAAAGATGTTGCTCAGATTTGTCAATGAATGAGAGCTGTGGTGACCAGAAATCAGAGCACATCAGCACCTGCAAAGAAGTGAACAAGGGTGAGGACTTGGGTTGGTCCTTGGATTCTGCAAGAAAACTTGTTGAGCTTGCAAAAAAGACCAAAGCCTTGGGCCAGGGATTTAGCTCAGTGGTTCCACCACCGGCCTCACAAGCGCAAGGTCCCCAGTTTGATCCCCAGTACCAAAAAAAAAAAAAAAAGACCAAAGGCTGGAGGCCAGCCCAGCATAGGGACCCCGGTTTGGCGTCAAAGGAAACTCAAGCAGAAGCAATTGAGGGCAAGAGAATCAGGATGTCAGAATCCCAATCAGACTCAGATCTAGGAGTCCTGGCCCTTGGTCCCCCACAGAGGTCAGGCCCCATGGCTCAGATCCACACCTGCAACACGATGCCCTGGGGACCCACAAGACAGGCTAGAACATTCACAAAAAGTATTTTATTATTCTTAACAGTATTCACTTTAAAGGAATAGGAGGATAGCATACAATTTTTACAGACAATATATAAATGTTGTACATAATTAACAATAACTTAGTTCACTAATCAAAAATAAAACAAGCCAAATAAAACAGAAAATACTGCTGCTTCTTTTTCTTTTGCTGACACTAGTACAAAATAAGTTACTTCCGGCTGTGGTGCTCCCCGCAGCAATTGGCGGTCCCTATTGCACTTGGTCAACTAAATCAGCACAATCGTCTTCCTCGGCTGGGGGACCCCCTCGCCGGCCACTGCACCCCACCACCACTGCACACAGAATCTAAGCTCAGGACACATTTATGTACAGCTGTACCTTGGAAGGATCCACACAGCCACAGCGGAGCAGAAGCGCAGGAATCCAGCGGGACATCCCACCTGTCTAGGCACTGACCCCCAATCCTGCCACCACCCACCAGCCCGCTGGGTCCTGGAAACCAAGAGCAGCCAAGCCCCGGCCCCACCCCCAGCTCTCCTGCTAGGGCCGTGGGGTCCAAGAACATCTCCAAAAAGAATTGCAAAGCGCCAACCTTAGTTCATTGGATTTATTCTTTCCCATAGTAGGGCTTCTGTGGCAACAGACAATTAACTGGACCCAGGAAGAGTTTAAAAATAAAAATAACCAACTCATCAACAAGTGAAGCTTATACAGTTTTGTTTTGAGTATTTTCTTGTTTGTCTCAGAGTGGGAGGGAAGGAGTCGAGGGGGAGCAGAAAAAGGATGTATGTACAGGGGTCCGCCTGGCAGAGAATTCGGGCTGTGGCTTTGGCCCGTTAGAGGCATACAGGTCACACTGCTTTGGCCTCAAAGCCCAGGGAGCGATCTGGGAGACGTTTCCCCTTTCAAGAAAATGTTGTTTCCTTCCTGTGACCCAGCCCTGGCCTGGGAATCTGCGCAGGACCGCCCGCGATTGTCTCTGCCCTCCAGGCCCAGGCCGCCAAGGCACACCGGCTCACTGGCCCCAGCTAGACGCGGCCTCTCCAGCCTTGGCTTGGCCCAGCCTGGAGCTGAGTGGTTTCACAGAGGGAAGGCGGTGGAGGAGGTGTGGGGGACGTGCCTGCAGACCTGCCCTGAAGAGCTCTGCAAGCCAAGCGGACAGGTCGTGTGGCCATGGGCCCAAGGAAGAACCCCATAGTGTGGGACACCCCAGACCTCCCAGTCTCTGAGTCCGTTAGAAACAAGAGCAAAATAAATTATCTTTGCCTACTTCTTTTTCCTTCAAAAAATGGTTGTATTTGTCTTTTCCCTTACCCCTCCATTTCTCGCCATGAAGTTGTCCCCATTTGCTCTGCAGACAATCGTCCATGAAGGGACCCCACCCGGGCAGGGGATGTGGTGGGGGTGGCCTCTGGCCAAGTTGAGAATATTCACAGTAAAGGCCGGCAGGCTGCCGCTGCAGCTCTTGCTGCTGCTGCTGCGCTTTGGAGCCGTGGAGGAGGCGGAGGTGGCTCTGAGCTCTGGCCGGGCTGGCAGGAATGGCGTCAGTCTCCAGGGAAGGGTGGCCACCCAGGGCATGGTCCACCGGTCCTGGGAGCGCCTCCCTCCTGGACATCTATCTGTCTGTGCAGCAGGACGCTGTCCCTAGCCCATGGCAGTCACCATGCTGGATGGGTGGGGGTGGCCAAAGGAGAGGCTGGAGGACGGATGGATGGGTGTCGGCGTGGGCAGGATGTGTCCCGAGTGGCTGAAAGGTGGGAGGTGGCCCACAGGGGCCATGTGTCCGGCCAGGGCGGCTGCGCTGAAGGGTGATGACTTCTCCTGCATGCACTTGGACAGCTCCTCGAAGCACTCAGCCCCTTTCTTGCTCTTCTTGGACTTGTTGGACATCTTCCTGTTCCGGGTCTGGATGCCTTCCTTCTTCATAGTCAGGGGCCTGTTAACCTAGGGGCAAGCACACAGCTTTTAGAGGCAGGTTCCAGGTTCTCTGCTTCCCCAAGAGACAAAGGAGTCTGGGCTGGGGGCTCTGGGTCCCAGGAGCTGTGCTGTTAGCCCAGCCTCCCATGCCATCCGCCCAAGCTGCCCTAAACTCAGACTGTACCGCTTCAGGAAGGGTGGTTTCAAGCTTCCTGGCTCCTGCTCACAAATGCCACCATGGCCCCCATGTGGGCACCCCAGATCCTCCCCTGCCCCCAGCTTGTGCTGACACAGAGACCCTACTTCCCCAGGCCACTGGCCAGCAGCACCTCCTCTTACAGGAAGCCCTTCTGGGGCTCCAGGTCTGCCCCACAGGCAGGCAGCCACTGCTCCCCAAGCCAAGCCAAGCTGGATATTATGGCTGGAGCCTCGTGGCCCACAGCACAAAGACCAGAGGTCCCCGGGGAGGGGAGGGGAGGAGCCGACTCACATTATGCAGCTTGTAGTAGAGCCCACAGGCGTTGCAGACCGGGTCCCCATTGGCGTTGCGGCGCCATAAGGTGGTGGTTGTCGTCTGACAATTCGCACAGCAGGTGCCCGCTCTCCTGGCTGCCGACTGTGAGGGGAGGGGAGGGGAAGGGCCGAGTCAGCAGGCTGGGCTCCCACGCCCCACCTCGACCTCCCTCCGCCCCTGCCACTTAGGGGGAATCTCCCAGGGGAATCGGGCATCTCAGAACGGTGGCATTTTAGAATCTGAGAACAAGACCAGGATTGCAGAAGTTTAGAAGAAAAAGCTCTCAGAAATCTGATCTTAGAAGCAATGGGGTTGTAAAAGCTGGGAAGGGAAGTAAGCCACCTCACCTAAGTACAAAGCAATCTAACTCTGTGAGGAAACTGAGGCTCTTGGGGTGGGGGCACCCTGAGCTGGCTCGGTCCCCTCACGGCCCCGCCCCCAGGCCTGGAGCCCATTCCTCCCCAGCACCTGCAACACCCAGAATTCAGGGGCCAGGGCAGGGGTTAGATTTACAGCATAGAACGGCGCCTCTGGTACAGTACGGCAACCACTCACTGCACGGGGCTGCTGAAATTAAACTGTGCTACATTGGCTGAAATTAAAACGTCAGTTCCTGCGATTGCACTGGCCGCAGGCCTAGTGACCCATGGTCACATGCGGCTGGAGGCTACCACGCCAGCCGGCGGAACGCATAGATCTGGGACATTTTCCTCCTCCAGCCCCGGCTCCCCAAACCTCAGAGCGCTAACCTCAGGAAATGCCAGGCTGAGGTGGGGTCTGGCAGGGAGGGTCTGGTCCCAGGGCAAAGGAGCCGGAGGCGCCCAGGCATGATGGAACCTTTACCCTCTTGCGGTTCCGCCAGCGCCAGCCCCGCACAAACAGAAAGAGTACAAGTTTCCCCAAGATTTCCCAGATAGCCGGGCCTGGAGTCCCCGGGCAGACTCTGGGTGGGCTGGGACCCAGGGTGGTCACAGAGGGGACAGACAGGACTGCAGCGTGGGGGCGGGGAGGGACGCGGTGAGTAAGCAGCTTGAAGCTGGAATTCTGACTCAGGGGCCAACTGCGCGTCCTCCACCCCTACCCTACCTTACCCACTGGCCCTCACCCTGCCCTCGCTCCGGGCCAGAAAAAAAAGGGCCCCCAAAGCAGCGAACGATGTAAGCCTCATAAATCACTTTGCCCTGAAAAAATATATTTATTATTCTTAGCATTTTACGCATTATTTGCAGAGCGGAGGGTATTAGAAATTTCAAAACAGCCCAGCGAGAGGCAGGACTGAGCCGAGGAGCCTCTCTGAAAACTCGCACAGTCCGGAAACAGATACACGAAGTTTCCTTATCTTCAGGCTGCAGATGTCCGGATAGGAAACTCCGGCAGGAGATCCGAAAGGGCATTTTTTTAAAAATCACTCAAATGAAAATACACAGTATAGGTGACTCCATGGAAAAATAATAAAGGGCACGTTTTTTTGGTGGCTGGTTTGAGTGTGTTTTATTTAAATAAGCAGGAGGAGACTTCGAGCTGGGGAGACAAGGAGGGAGCATGGACCAGCCACAGGGAACGGGGAACGGGAACGGGATTCAGGGCCCTATTTTTAAAAAGAGTGAGGCAGAGGCCAGAGGAGGAAGGATGGCCCCTGGGATACACTCTGGGGATCCCCGGAGTGAGATGGCACAAGGGTACCTGGTGGGCTGTGGAGCAGGAAGTCTGGCAGGAAAGAATCTGGCCAGGAAGGTGACCCCAACTGACCCCCAAAAGATTTTAAGGATAAAAGAGGAGTTCAGGTGGTAGAGCTCCAGGGTGTGTTTGTTTTGTTTTGTTTGGGGTCGGCTTTTTTTTCTCCTTAATTAACTCCAGCTCCTGCCCAGGTTGTGTGTGCTTCCCCCACAACCTGTGTGTGTGCCCTGTCCCCAGGGCCACCTGGGCCCACCCGCTCGCCTGAGGCACCCGCTCCTACCAGCCTCCGCTTGGGCTTGATAAGCGGCCGGTTCTGCCCGTTCATCTTGTGGTAGAGGCCGCAGGCATTGCACAGGTAGTGGCCAGTGCCGTCCCGCCGCCACAGAGGGGTAGCTGTGGCCCCACAGTTGACACACTCTCGACCTTCTGGGGGGGCGGGCAGGGAGAGATTGATTAGGTCACTCACAGAAGAAGAGGGAGCCAGGGGGACTAGAGGCTCAGGGAAAATTAGGTCGGACCCAGCCCGTGACAGGGGTGACTCTGAGTGCCGGGCCCAGGCCAGAAGATGGACGCAGGAGGTCCCCACAGAAGAGGCTCCAGAGAGCCTTCGAAGGCCAAATCCCTGCTCCAAATCCTCCCAGGTGGTTGACAAAGGAGGAAGGAGGGGCAGCAAGACCCCAGGGATTCTCAGAGTGAGTGCTGAGGAGAGGGGAGTAGCTTGGGGACGGCCCCTTTCTGTTCCTCCGCCAGTCTCCCCAAGTGCCACCACCTTCAGAGTCTGTTCCACATTCTCCACCTTTAGCCCCAACTTGGTCTCCTTACTCGCTAGCCTGAGTCAGAAAGGAAACTTCTTTCTCCCCTTCCCCTGAAACCCTGGAATTCAGTCCTGGACTCAGTCAGAGTTGTTGTTCTTTAAAGTAAAATACGTTCTTTCGCTTTGGACTAACTGGCCTTGTTTTTTAGGTTTTCGTTGTTGTTGTTAGAAGGGCATCTGGAATTCAAACAAAACACCAAACAAACTTGGGAGAGGGGGCTAAGAAAGGCGAGCTAGCTGGTCCGCACACTAGGCTGAGAGAGTGGCAGGGCTGAGGCCAGGCACCTTAGTGACCTGTCACCCAGGAAGGGCTCCCAGATTTGGTTTCAATAAATTGCCCACCTATGCCAGCAAGAGAAGGTAGTTCCTCAACTCAGGAGTAGAAGTTTTAAAAACCTTCCTCCCCTGTCCCTGGCTCAAAGGAGTCAGGCAGGAGGCGCCCACAGCAGGCGCCCCTCGCTGGCCATGGGTGATTGCCCTGCGGCCAGATTCCTGAACAAACCCAGCTTGGTCCAGCTGGTGCTGGCCCAGGGGTGCAGGCACCCGCTTTCATCCCCCTCACCCGGCCCCCCTCAGGGAGAGGCAGTAGAGGACATGCTGGGGCCTGGAGGGAGGGACAGGCCCTGGGAATTTTGCTCTGGGGAAAATCTCCCGAGGAGATCAGGAGCCAGCCGCTGAAATTCTAAGATGGACTGATTGCGCTGGACAACCAGATTCCTTCAGGGCCCGGGAGCTTCGCAGGACCCGCAGCACGAGCACACGCTGGAAGACACGTCCGCACAAGCACACACAACTGCCCTCACTCCAGCCTGAGCTCCCGCACACACTAGGTCACAAGGCTGCTGCGCTTGTGCTGGCTTTCAAGGAGGGGAAGGGACAATTCCTGTTCTGTTCAGGGGCCACATAGAAGGAATGAGGAGCTGAACTTTGGGGAGACCAGGAACTCTTAAAGTCTGAGGGGCCTCAAACATCATCCATCCCCAGGTGAGGTGCTGATACCGACCTCTCTACCACATCACAGCTGCTCCGACAAAGCCACACACAGCCCCCACCTCCACCAACAGGTCCCCTGGTGCCTTTACCTGAGCAGGAGCGAGTCTTGCTGCGCTGTTTCGGGGTGAAGCTGGAGGCCGGGCCACCCAGGAAGCCCCCTGGGTGGAAGAGTCCGCTGCCGTAGTCGTGGGCGGCAGCGGGCACATAGGAGGGGTAGGTGGGGATGGGGTGGTGGGTGGCAGGCTGAGTGCCCATGGCGGCCAGGCCTGGGCGCAGGGGACTGCCGCCTTCCAGCTTCATGCTCTCGGTCAGTGACACTTGGTACTTGATACCGTCCTTGTCCTCTACCCTGGCCGCACTACCCCCGGCAGAAGAGGAGGCCGGGGAGGCGGCCCCCGTGGCACTGGGGTCGGGGGACACTTCTTTGGGTGGTGTGGGTGGGAAGCCGAAGAGATGAGAACCAGAGTGGGCTGCCGAGGGGGTGAGGGAGGCTACTGAGCTCGCGCTGCCTCCTCCACTGCCACCTGCAGCTCCGGGGTACACGGAGAGAGGCCCTCCAGGGCCCCCAGCAGCCGAGGGGTGCAGCGTTGTCTTAGAGAAGGGGCTCACGGTCCAGGGGTTGTGGTGGTGCGCTGCAGCAGCCGAGAGGGCGGCCTTTCCCCCATCCAGCCAGGGTAGGCCAGGACTATGCAACAAGTGTGGCCGGCACATCTGCCCTCCAGTCAGACGGGCTGCGGGGAGGGGAACAGGGGTCACAACTCGGGAAAAGAGCGGCAACACCCTCCTCCCCTAAAAGAGCTAGAAACGCCAACCCGACTGGTCCTAATCAGGAAGGTCGTTAGTCCGGAGCTGAGAATAGCAGCCGGAGGGGACCCTCATTGTCAGGCTGCAAAGGCAGCGACCTCCCCAGGACCGCGGCCCCCACCTTTCCCGCCCGGCTCTGCGGCTCCCACATCCGGGAAGCAGGCGGCCTCCTCCCTCCCACTGGCCCGGGGCCGCGCTCACCATGCGCGGGGCTGTAGGAGACGCGCGCCCGCGCGTGGGCCGGGTTGGCGTAGTAGGGGTTGCCCTGCGAGTCCAGGTGGTTGAAGAAGACGTCAACCTCGTCCGGGGGCAGCAGCTGCGCTGGCTCCATATAGTTGTGCGCCAGGCCTGGGTGGTGGGAGTCGGGGTGCTGCGCGTTCAGCACCGCAGGGTGCGCCATCCAGCGAGGCTGCTCCGGCGCTACCTCCATGGCCCGCGGCGGTGACTCGGGGTCTGGACGGGACGGTGGCGACCCTGAGTGACACGAAGGGACGTGAGGGCCGCGGCTAGCCGTGGACGCCCCCAAAGGCCGACCCCCGGCACCAAGAAGGACGACGGTCCGGCTGGGAGGAAAGTGCTCGGCTCGAAACGAAAGGAAGGCGGGGGAGGGGACCCTGCCACGCACACTCGCGTGGGTACCAGCAGCCCCGGAGTTGCACGCCTGTGCACACGGGGACACACTCGGGGACTCCGCAAACGCGCGCAGATGGCTCCAGGCAGGCTGCGTCCCCGCCCTCGAGTGCACAAACACGAACTCAGACTCAAAGTTGGAGCCCGGACACCCGCGGGGCGCGCGATGGCGTTGACGCGTCCACACCCACGCTTGGAGCGGGCACAACACTGACCCCGGCACCCTAACACACGCAACCGCGGCCCCGCGCCGAGCGCACTTCTTGAGCGCACTTCGGGACACGCAGCCGGGACTTCTTCCCACCGCGCGCCGCCCCACGGCTCGGCCCCCGCCAAGACCCCTTGGTGCCAGGGGCGTTGGTCGCCCCCACCCCCACCCCCCGGCGCTCGCACCCCAACTTACGCACGCTGCACCGCGAGGTGAGGAGGCACGGGCAAAGCAGGGAGCACCGCTACGCCCCGGGACGGCGCGTGCAGAGGCCGCAGCTCAAGGGGCAGGGGCGGAGGACGGCGTGCGCCTCGGCCTCGGGCCCGCCCGGCTCCGGCCGCTCGACATCGTCCGGCCGCGCTGGCGCCAGCTGCCGACTCCTGCTCAGACATGAAGCGGGGGCCGCGCACGCCTAAGAAGCTGGCGCCAGCCAATCAGTGTCGCGCGCCGCCCAGCCTCCGCCCCCTATTGGCTGGGCCCGCAACTCCGCCGCGGGACTCGGCCGGCCGCGGGCGCCCCCTCCCCGCGCCCTGGCTGCGGCCCCGCGGCCCACCACCCTGTCCCGGGACCCCCGCCCCGCGCTCTGTCCTGGGACCTAGGGGTCTCCGAGGCTGACCCCTCCCTGGGGCTCTCTCTACTCGGGACCTGGGCCGCGTACTCGGGGCCTCTCCCCGGACCCGCCACTTTCCACCGACACGCGCATTCCGGAGCCGCCATCTCCCCAGACCTGTGTCCCCGGGCCGCCGGGGGATGAGGGGCGCTGGGGGACCCGGGCGCCCGAAAGGGTACCTGGGCCTGGGTCCCGGGACTGCTGGGGCTGCGCTGGGCGGGGCGGGGGGAGGTGGTCCGGGGCAGATGGCGGAGAGGGAGGTGGCCAGGAGGGGGCGTCCCCTCGGGCGTGGCCTCGCGGACCCCCGGGCAGCACTGCCCGGGGCGAGGCGGTGAGACCGGGCCTGGCGCCGGCGCCGGCGGGAGAGACGCCTGGGGCAGGCGCAGGCGTTTCACTCCAGGGGTTCCCCCCAGGCGGCCCCGGGGAGTGGGAGGCGGGGGTCCCAGCCTAGGTTCCCCAGGTCCCCCGGAGCTGCTCTCTCCGCGCTCCAATTCTGGGAGCCAGTTCGGGGTGCAGGCGGGGTATGAGCTTTTTCCTGCGCCCTCCTGGGGACCCTGAGGCCTAGGAAAAGATCCGGCCCCAGACCTTTGGGGGAGCCTGACAGGTGCGGGGGGTGGGGGCGCCGCTGTCCTCAGGCGAACGCCCCGGTGGGAGCCTATGGGCTCCTCAGTGGGTGAGGGGCGGGGGTCCCGGCCACCCGGGGGGAGGGGCGCGATTGACGGTCGGTAATTGGGTAACCGGAGGCGGCTTCTCCGGCCGGCGGCCCCGCCACCGCGACGCCGGGCCCCTGACGTCACCCGATTCGCCAGGAAATGAACTTTTTAATAATACGAGGCTGGAGGAGAACCGGGTCCCCTCGGCTTGGGGGCGCCCGGCCGCCGCGCTCAGCTCCGCGGTGCCCCCACCACCCTCCGGGGCTGGCTCGGGGCTCGGCCGGACTCCTCCTGCCTCTGCGGCCGGCATCTGCCGGTTTGTCCAGGCTTAGCACAGATAAAGGCAGGGGCGAGGGTGCGCCCCCTGGCTCTGAGGACCCCCAGTTTTGCGCCCCGGGCCTAGGGGAATCCGCTGCTCGCAGGTGAGTGTCGGGGACCAGCTCCCACCCACCTCGGGACCTCTGGTTCCATTTCCCCACGCCCGTAGCTCAAGATTCTTCTCCAATGCCCGCCATGGAGTTTGGAACCCATGGGGAGTCCCTGGACCCTGCGATCCGGGGCACCCCCAACCCGTGTCCGGCCAGCCGTTCTGCGAACTTCTGCGCGGAAGGCCGGAGCGACCGCAGAGCGGTGCCCGGGCAGACAAATCGGAAAGGTCCCCTCCCAGGCCGACCGGCGGCGGCAGCACGGAGTTGGCCACGGGGACCCGCGCCAAAGCAAGCAGGTAATTTTGCTGCTTTCCCCAAAACTCGCGGTTTCAAAGATCCCTCCTTCTGGGACGCTGATGGCTTGGATCACCAGCTCAGCCTCTGCCCTTGGTGGCAGTGTCCTGGCCTGCGGTGGTCCTGGAGCTGGCCTGCCCGGATGGACCCCCTGTCCCAGAGTCCACCAGAACTCTGTCCAGCCTGGGCAGAGTGAGTGCAGGCGGGGATTTAATTACCCCGCTTGGCGGCTCAGAAAATCGACAGGACTTAGCTGTCCGGTAGTTAAGCAGCACTTGAGCTGGGGCCTCCGGAGACCCGCAGCAGTCTGCCTGCCCGCATTCCCGGCTGGAGAGGAAAACAGGGAAGGGAATTCTGCCAAGTCCTCTGCGGCTCCCAGAATTGCCTTACTAGAAACTGCAGGCCGGCAGCCGGCTTGGCCCAGCTGCCACCAAGAGCGAAGCTCCTGCGTTGGAGGCGGGACTGCTGGTTGTCCTGCAGGAATGAACCCGTCTGGGAGAGAAAATCTCAGTGCCGGGTAGCGGGGCACTGAGATGGCCGATAATGGGGACCAGTGCTGTGAATGCCTTCAAGAGCCAGGCAGGACAGGCAAGACCTCACCCACCGGGTCCTGCCACCTCACCCCCAGCAGACCTCCGAGGAGGGTCAGCTCAGCCCCGGGATGGGCTGGAGTTTCGGTGGTGCCGTTCCCGCCCCAATGACAGCACATTTATTCCCGTTCCTGCGCTGGGAGTAAAGGTTTCAGAACACCTCGCAAGGGACCCAGTCGCATTTTCAATTTTTGCTTCGTTCGGAGCATAGCTGGAAATGCGGGCCTTTGATCACTCTAAGAAGCTGTCACTTTCCTTACGAGAACAAGGTTTCTCTGATAAGGAAGGTCAACCACCAGACTGAATTTTCTAACGGCCCTTTGCAAGTGACCCCAGACCCCCTGTTAGAGCATTCGACAATACAGCCCAGGACTTCTGCCTGGGATCCAGACCCAGGTCTAGAGGACCGCTCGGCTGGTGCAAAGGTGTGGCCGCCTGCCAAGCCAGGGCCCAAGCAGCCCGGCTCCCGGCTCTGTGCTGCGCCCTTTGTTTAAACTTCGCTCATCCTTGGCAGCCCCTCTGGGATCCTAAGTTTGCCCTCTCTTTGAAACCTAATTCTTCTTGCCTTCTCCTTTGGGCAGCTAATTGGCCCGCAGCGGGTGGTGGCCCGAGGACGCCTGTGCTTAGGGACGCCTTCCTCCGTAGGGGTGTTTCACTCACAATGCACAGCCTCCAGCACACGTTGTCAGGGACACTGGGGAGTCACCGGGCGCCTAGGCCGGCTCAGATCCTTCCACACTGCTGCTGTTATAGCCCCTGGAATCAGAAAGCTCTCTCTTCCCCAGCCTTCCTGCTGGCTCTGCCACCCGACTGTGGGATCCTGGGTGTCTCGGCACCCCAGTCCTGCCGCTGCCGGGGACTCTATCTCCTAAGCGGGTTCTAACTCCACTGCCCAGCCAGTGGCCACCAGGGCCCCATGGAGACCCACAAATCACCCTGCCTTTCTTCCTCTTCCACCAACAGCTCAGTGCTGCTCACAGCGGCATGATAACTGCTAAATCCTTTTCGTTAGATGCAAGTTGTTTGCAGTTTGTCAACCCGCCTGGGACCAGACACCTGGGCCAAGCTTTGGCTCTACGTGGTTCTCAAGTTCTATCTGCCCATAAACGAATCCCAGCCTGGGGGACCTGCATAGACCAGAAGCTCATGGCGAGATGTTCCTGGCCCTGGGAGACATGGCTTTTTCCAGAACAAACGAATTTCTTTCCTTGTTTTCTGGTAGAGGACCGGCCGCCACAACCAGGGGCCCTGAACACAGTAACTTTCCCCTTGAGGCTGAGGCAAACTGTAGTTCAAGCCTGGCTACCACCGAGTGGCCCTAAAAGCCCGGAGTCCAGCCAGATCCAAACGCCATCTACTTGTGCCCATGCTGCCCAAACTGCCCCTGGCTGCCCTGTTCTTACTGAAATCCCAGTAAACGGATTCCGACCCCAGCTTGGGCAAGGAGGGAGCCTTCCAGACCCAGCGCACTCCCCCACCTGCACCCCACCCCAGCCGCTCGGGATAAAAGGCCGCAGGGCAGGGCGAGGCAGGCAAAGCGAGCCGGGTTAAGCCTCGCAAAGCCAGCGCACGGGACTGGCTGGCAGGTGCAGCCTGCTCGGCCCGGCTCGGGCGCATCCACAGCGGCTCGGCGGCCCTGGTGCAGGCATGAAACAAAGGCTCCAGTCAGGGCTGGGAAGGGGGGCAATCACCCAGGCCTGGGAAGCTAGGGTTCCTGGGACCCAGAGCTGGAAGGAATGGGAAGGCCAGAGTCCCGAGGCAGCCTGTGGTGCCCAGGTGCCCGGACCTCCCCCTCAGCGAGGCCAAGGGTTCTCATGGCTGGCAGGGCCAGGCAGAACCCCAAAGGTAGGGCCTCAGGGCCAATGGCTATGCAGTGCGGGGCTCTGTAGCTGAGCTGAGTCCCAGGGCAGGTGGGAGGGCAGGCTGGAAGGGACTCACCGGGGGCTGCGGGGTTCCTGGAGCGGCCCAGAAGTGGCGGTGGTGGCACTCAGCAGCAGGGCCTGGGCAGCGCACCGAGTGACTGCATGGTGCGATGTGCTATGGGCTGCTTTGTCCGCCTGGCCCTGGTGGGCAACAGGACCAGCTAGGGTGGGGGTGACAGCGCCCAGCGATAGCAACTAGAGCAGCAGCCCCAGCCGCCACTTCCCTCTCGGGCTCGCAGGCTGCCTCTCCCTCTCACCGGCCGCAGCGCTGCTGCTTTTTATTTCTACATCACTGGGGGGGGGCACTGCAGGGGGGCAGGAGGGTGACCCAAGCTCTGCGCCCCAACTCCTGGGCCCAGCCGCTGGGTTGGCTGCCCAGGGCCACCAGGCACTGGAAACATTGACTGTGCTCGTCCCCAGGCTAGGCCACTGGAATCCTCTGGGGCGCCCTGCTCTCCGGGATGCAAACCCAGAAAGCCTGCTATGTCAGTCTCTGTTCTGGGGCTGTCCCCGGGGATCCTCTTCAGCCGTAGGCACACACACTCACACACACAGGTACACACGCTCCTGCTCTTCTTTCCTCAGCCCGCCACCCATAGTGTTCTTGAGAAAAACACACCACGGGGCACACAAGCATCAGTACACACAGCTATGGGTGTGTGCACGGCCCAGACAAGTTCCTAGGTTTGTCCATAGGGGAGTCCAGGGGACCCCAACCAAGGAGTCCACCCGTCCAACCCATTCCAACTGCCTAGAGAGGGTGACCACGGCCATGGCCCCAGAGAGAAAATGCCTTGCCCAGGAGGGACCAGAAGTATGTGCCTGGTGCCCAAGTGTGCCTCCAGGGAGAAAATGAGTGTGTCCCGTCTCGTGGCACTTGTTGTCTGTGGGTCTCACTGCATCTGGGAGTAGCAGTGCCTTGTGCCTGTGCTTGTGCGTGTAGCTCAGTATCTATGATCTGTGCCCTGTGTATATCGTAGCACACAGAAGAGTTTGTAGGACTGACCAAGTTAGAGCATCCATTTCTTCTGGTGCTCAGGGGCAGTGTATATATGGGCCAGTAGTGCACACAGGAGTGTGCGTCAGTGGAACTGGGTGTGTGTCCTGGGTGAGGTATCCATGGGATCCTCACCTCCATATGGGTTCAGCTGTGGGTATTTCCACGTGTTCATCTGTAAACTAGTGTGTGTCCCTGTGTGTGTCTGTAGCACTGTGTGGGTCCCTGTGTGGATGAATTTGTGTGAATATTACTGTGTGTATCTTCAATAGTGTGTACCTGGTTTATCTGTGTGTCTTCAAACTGGTGTGTGTGTGTGTGTGTGTGTGTGAGAGAGAGAGAGAGAGAGAAAGAGAAAGGGAGGGAGAGATGTTGCAATGTGGATACTCATGTAGAATTCTGCTAACTAATTGAGTTTTAGGAGTGTTTGTGTATCTGGGTATACATTCTCCTTTGTATGTGTGTGCATCTGTTTTTTTTTTTTCAGTGCTGAGAATTAAACCTAGGGCCTTACACATGCTAGCCAAGTGCTCTGTCACTAAGCTACATCCCCAGCCCGCATTTTTCTGGGGGTTTTTTGGGGGGCGGGGGGATTGGGGATTGAAGCCAGGGAACACTGAGCTAATCTCCAACCCTTGTTTGTTTGTTTGTTTATAACAAGGACTTGCTAAGTTGCCCGAATGGACCGCAGTCTTGCAGTCCTCCTGCCTCAGCGGCTGGGATTACTGATGTATGTCACCTCGGCCAGCTCTATCTTTCATGACGTAGGTAGCCTTGTATAACTTTAGACCTTCGGCAGGGAGGGGCAGATGCATCCCAGTGTGCTCGTGAGTTGCTGTTTGTGTCCCTGTGTTGCAGTCCCGTACCTTGGAACTATGTGTTTCTCTACCCAGGGGTGGGCTGTGCCTGTGACCCATGGAAGAGCAGGTCCCTGGGTGTCACATGGTGCGTGCACCCTCTTCGATCACCAGCCACCCACACCTCCAATCAGCAGGGCTGCCGCCAGTGCAGCTCCGGGGTGCCGTTTGCTCGGGCCCTTTCTCTCTGTCTGTGGGACGGGGAGATGAACTGATAAGCTTATCTGCTGTCGCCAGTGCCACGCTGAATAACTGCTCTAATGAGGTGGCCTCTCTGGGACCACCCGCTCCAGAGCCCTCCACTCCCACTGTGGGGAGGGTCATGGGCCAGGCGGCCATGCCGCACCCCAGGACCTGGGTGTCTAGGGCCTTTTCTAGTTCTGCTTGGTTCTCTGGGAGGGGGCACAGGACCCTCCTCACTGTGGCCCTGCAGGGCAGGGCTGGCCTGGCAGAGCTGGCTGGAGGCTATCACTCACTGGACCTTAGCCAGGTGCCCAGCCAGCAGAGGATAAAGGGCAGGAGGCCTGGAGATGTGGGAGTGCGGGCTGGTGGGGGGGATGGATAGAAATGGACACCCAGCATAGAGAAACCCAGAGAGACAAGGAGGGGAGAGGAGACAGGGAGCCCTAAGAATAGATTTTTAAAAGCAGTAGCCACGGAGAGGGACAGAGACACCAGCAGGCTTGGGGGCTAGGGGTTGAGGGCACTGAGAGACAGACAAACATCTAACAAGTGGCAGGGAGGTCAGAGAGATGGGAATTAAGGCAGAGAAAGTGTTGGCCAGAGAAAGACAAGGGCCAAAAGATAAAAAGATAGAGAAGACCGCGCCAGAGAGACGGAAAGAGCAGAGAGGAGAGGCTGAGAGCCCTGCGGGGAGCGAGCACGGAAAGGGCCCGACTGAAGCAAGGACACAAAGGAGTGCGGCTGGGCATCCGACCGGCCGGCGCGGAGAGCAGCGCGTGGGGCCACGCAGGGTCCACGTCGGGCGGGGCACCGGGCACAGCGGCGGCGGCCAGGGGGCTCCGCGCGGGGCCGCGCCGCTGTCCGGGGTAATTTTTCATCTCGGCCGGCTAATCTTTGTTCCTGGGGAAGATAATGAATAGCCAATCGTTATCTGCCCGGCTCCCAGAGGCTGCCCGAGAATGGGGTTGTACCGGGCTGGGAATTGTTTCCAAAGTGCCGCGGAATAAATGGTGTTCCTTATCTCTGCCTTCCAGATTATCGGAGCCCTTTCAGAGCTCGCACAACAAATGCGGCCGCCCTGGAAAGCAGCATTTACCGGCGCAGATCCGCGCGTTGATGGGCAGGGAGATAGCGTCCGCAAGGGGCGCCGTGCGCGCCAGGCCACCGAGCGTGCGCTCCCCCTCGTGCCCAGCGTGCGTGGAGGGACACGTGGGCGTGGACATGGAGCGAAGCACGACGCGGACGTGCGTGCAATTGTGCCAAGCAAGTGTGTGGTCCGTGTGCACACGAGTGGCAAGCATGGCTGCAGAGTGCCCGACGACGGCCGCCGAGCGTGCACGCAGGTGCCACGTGTGGGCGCCGGGCCTCGGGCCGCTGCTCAGGGCGTGAGGAATGGGTGTCCACGCCCAGTGTGGCGGGTGCGCACGCTGAGTGTCTCGACGTCCCCGCTGGAGGTGCCCTTCTGAAGCGCATGGCAGAGGAGGTGTGCGGCTCGTGCAGGGTCGCCCTCTACTGTGTGCGCCTCGCGGGATGCAGGCTTTCGAGCGTGTGCGTGCCCGGCTGCCTGGGCGAGTGCCTCGCGTGCCTTTGGGATGTGCACGGGCCCGCAGAGGGACTGGTCCTCAGGAAGCTTTCTACCCAGGGGTTGCCAAGGGTGTAGCGAGCTATGGGTGTAGATCCTGCGGCTTGGGGAAGAGACAGATCCGTGTGTCCGGATGTGAGTGACACCAAAGCAGCTGGGCGGGCTGCGCCGGGTGCCAGGAGCGCTGGCGAAGAGAGAGTGTGCGGGTCGCCTGAGGAGTTTAGGAACGCCCAGGGGTCCTGGGCCAGAACCTCTCCGTGGCGCTCCGGAGCTGGAGCAGCAGAGCCGAGCCCCGCCGCCCGAGTCCCCGCACCGTGAGTGACACGCGTCGCTGACAAAGGCTGTATTTTTCCAGACTCGCGCCCCGCCTATGCGTGCGCGATGGTCCCCATGGCGACGCAGATAGCACCGCAGCCATTTTCCTATCTGCTCGAGTCTATTATATGGCGGGATTAGCTCATCTCCAGGCAGGTCAAACCCAAAGTCACACAACCTGCGGCGCCGGCTCCGCCCCCGGCCGCCGTCCCCCACCCGGGTCCAGCTGTGGCGGGGCGACCTGGGCCCGGATCCCGTGCACAGGCACAGAGCGCCACCTGGCGGCCACGGGGGCCCGAAGACATCCCTCCCGCACGGGAGGGAGAGGTGGGCCGGGTAGGGTCCCTTACTCCAAAAGATGGAGTCCCTGCGGGCAGAGGCTTGGTTTTGTCCCTAGCAGGTGCCAAGGGCCAGGCTGGCGCACAGGAGATGCCCCATCAGTGTTTGTGGAAGGGACGGAGCACAGGAAGTTGTAGACAGGGCCTGACAGCCAAAGGTCACGGCTTAGTTGGCAACAGAAAACTATTTGTGTGCATGGAAGTCAAACTCCTTGGGAACCTGTGCAGCAGCCTCGCTGACTCCCAGGCCTCGCTTCCCCCCAGGCCTCCCTTCTCCTTGACGGGGGCCTCCATCAGTTCTTCAAACAGGCCAGGACAACCCGCCCTTTGTCTGTGCCACCCTGTGAATTCTGCCTCTCTCACGTGTGTACCCTGCCCTCTGTGACAAAGTTGCTGTCCTCTACCCTGCGTTCTGTGCTGCAGTATTTATTTCACAGTGCAGGGCACACTTGCAGGTGGTTTGTTCACCCCGGTGGTGTGCTGGATCCCTCCGGATCCACTATGTCCCTGGGTATAGCCTAGCAGCTGGATGTAAGCATGGATCCCACCATGCCTTTATCATCATCGCTTTCCTGCCACCCCCCCCATGTCCCAGCTGCAGCCAGAGGTTGAGAGAAAGACGCAGCGATCCCTCCACATCCTGTGCTCTGCCAGGTGACACTTCACTCATAACAGGAGATGATTACGACAGAGACACCCGGAGCGGCGGTGATTAATTGCTGCTTGGGTGTCCACAGGATCTGGAGCAAGCCAGCTGAGCAGGGACCAGTCCTGTGACTGGGTCTGCCAGGACCCCCCTCCTCCCCATGTGCATGTCCCTGCCTATTGCCTGAGGAAAGTCACTGCGCCCCTTTGAGCCTCACCCTCCCTCCAGACTGACTGGGGATTGTGTGTGATCGTGTACCAGATGTGACCGAAGTGTACAAGGGGTGTTTCCATTTTAAGTGATTACAGTAAAAGACACACTGCTGTTAACCCTCCTCAGGACACCCCCTTGCTTCAAACACACTCAGTTCACCCTCCTTACCACTTTCTACAGCAGCTCTGGAGTCCTCTTTCATGTGTGTCTTTCCTAAAGGTGTGATCAAAATACGGTGAATACTCCTGCCAAGTGTCACCCAATGGAAAGGCAGGCTTGTAAAAACACAATGCCATGTCCTCATCCCCCTTATTCACCAGATCTGACACCTGTGGCTTCTGGCTATCCCCAAAATCATTCAGGCCATGGAGGCAGCCACCACAATGTACTAAAGACCCTTAAAAAAGAGGACTCCAGAGCTGCTGCAGAAAGTGACAAGAACATGGGATCATTTTTCAGAGTGGTGGGGGAGGATTTTGAGGGGAATGAATGGCACTGTGCCTTTTACTGTAATAAATTTTTTTTTGTACTGGCAATCAAACTCAGGACCTTGAGCTTTCAAAGCAGGTGGCGGAACCACTGAGCTAAATCCCCTGCCCTGTAATAAATTTTTTAAAGTAAACATTCGCTGTATCTTTTGATCACAGCTAGTATTTTAAGTCTTGTAACCCAGCCTTTGCTCACTGGCAGCCCAGAGACCCGGGGTGCCATGACTGAGCATTGCAACCGCGTGAAGTGGGAAGTTTCAAAGCAGAGCCTCATTCCTTGCTTCTCTTGAAACTTCATTGAAACATTCATGCTGCAGTCTCTAGAGCCACCCTGTGTGGCCTCTGTGCCAGGGCCCACCCAGCCACTCGAGGCCCACGTCACGGTGTGTCCCTCATAGAGATGCTGGGTGCTGGACTCGGTAGGTCTGGCTTTCCTTCCAATATGGGGTCTTACGGTAGGTATCTCTGTGTGTGTGTGTGTGCGTGTGCGTGTGTCCATCGGGCACTTAGTAATTACTCAGTCAATGAACTCATCCAGTCGGTCCTTTGGAATAGTGCACTGGACCCCAGGTGGACAGCCTGGGAACTTTGCTTCAGGGCAGTTAGTCCAATGACCAAATCGCATGAGATCAAGAAAGCTCACAAAGGATGATAAGAATTCTGAGGGCAGGAAGAATACACGGGGCTGATACGGCCCCGGGCTCAGTTGCTAGGGACTGTGTAAGCCGTGGGAAACAGGCAGTGAGGTTCTGGCTGATGAAACTTGGAGCTACAGGCTGCTTGCTAAAGGAGAGGTGCTCACACTCACCTCACGAGGGAACACAGTGCCTAAAGAGCACCGATAAATGGATAAGAACAGTGGAGCAGAGCAATGGCAAGGGAATGAATGGAAAATCCTTCAGAAAGAAAATAGAAACAGCTCTTAAATACACAACCCATGCTCAGTCTCTCTCAGAGAAATGGAAATTTAAAACACATATTTGGAGGGCCGGGGATTTAGCTCAGTGGTTCCACCTCCTGCTTTGAAAGTGCAAGGTCCCGAGTTCGATCCCCGGTACCAAAAAAATAAATAAAATAGGGGCCGGGATTTAGCTGCCTACTGCGCAAGCACAAGGACCCGAGTTCGATCCCTGGTTCCAAAAAAAAAAAAAGAAAGTTACTTGTGAAAAACCAAGCCTATCAAAAATAAATAAAATAAAACATATTTGGGGTGAAAACAAATGAGCTGAAATAGGCTATGGTGGTAGATGGGACCCCCATAAATTAATGAGAACGCATTGAAGGGTACATTTAGGTTACCTTTATGGTATGTCACTTATACCACAAGAAGTTCTTAAAAAAAAAAAAATGACAAGGCCTTGGGGTAGCTTGTGGTAAAGCACTTGCTTAGCATGGAAGAGGTGCTGGGTTTGATCCCCAGACCATAAAAAAAGTCAGTAACAGCCAGGTATGGTGCTACATGCCTGGAACCCCAGCTACTTTGGGAGACTGAGGCAGGAGGATGCAAGTTCAAGGCGAGCCCGGGCAATTTAGTGAGACCCTGTCTCAAAAAGAAAAAAAAATTTTTTTTCAGTACTAGGGATTAAACTCAGGTCCTTGTGCTTGCAGGGCAGGCAGTGGAACCACTGAGCTAAATCCTCAGCCCAAAAAAGAGGTTTTTTAAAGTGCTGAGGGTGCAGCCCAGTGGTACAGCGCTTGTTTAGCATATGTGGGTCCCCAGGTTTGATCCCCAGCACCACAAATAAAGTAATAAGCTGCAAATCAATTAGTGATACCAATTGCTACCTATCGGCATCAGCAAATGTCAAACCTTCCATAAATATCTCCAAGGGGACAGGGAGACAGGTTGGTGGGAATGTCAGACACTCTTGTGTGGGTGGGCAGTGGGACCCTGTCACATTTTCAACATACCCTTGAGCCAAGATTCCATTTTCAGGGCTTGATCTGACAGATGTGTTCTCACATCTGTGGAATTTACAAGGAAATTCACTGCAGCCACATACATTACAGCAAGAGATTGGAAGCCGAAGATGTTCTACAGATGGAATGTCGGGCTGCTGTCAAAAAACAAAAAAAGGAAGAAAGAGAAAAAGAAAAGTGTTCTTAGTTGGGCGTGGTTGCAAACACCTGTAATCCAAGCTCCTTAGGAAGCTGAGGCAGGAGGACTGCAAGGTCAGGCCCAGACTGCACAACTTTGTAAGACTCTGTCAAAATAAAAAACAGAAAAGGGCTGGGGATGCAGCTCAGTATGAAGACCCTGGGTTCAATCCCCAGTACTGCAAAATCAATCAGTCAATCAGTGAGCAGATGAGAGAGGGTGGGGTGGTACCAACTGATTAGGAACGGGGTAGAGAGAAGAGACCCCCCCACACACACACACTGGCTCACATAGTTCCAGAATCTCTGGATGGCCAACACAGACCAGTAACAAAGGCTGCTATCTGCACAGAACCTGGGTTTAGTGGATGGAAACAGGAAAGGGCGCGACTTTCCCGTGTGCCTTTGATTCCTGTTAAACTTGCACAGATGGATAGATGACAGGTGATCAATACACTGTAAAATATTCAAATTAAAAACAAAACAAACCCTTCCCCCCACCCCAGTACTGGAGATCAACCCTAAATAACCTTTTGGATTAAAAAATTTAAAAAGAGAGGAGAGCAAAAATTCGCCAGGAAGAAGTTGGGGGAAATTTCAGGGGCTAAAACATAAGGAAACAAGCTTTCGCCTGCCCTGTTGACAGGAATGTAAACTGGTAAAGCATTTTGCAAAGTCATCTGGATGTGCCTGGAAAGGTTAAGCTACAAATGCCACAGGAAACTAGGCATGGTGTCACATCCATGGAATCCCAGCACTCTGGGAGGCTGAGGCAGGAGGACTGCAAGTTCGAGTCCAGCCTGGACAACTTAGCGAGACTCTGTTTCAAAGGAAAAAATGGACCAGGGATGTGTCTCAGTGTGAAGGTCCTGGGTTCAATCCCAAGAAGAGCAGGGAGGGCTCTGGGACGTAGCTGATGACCTCCCCAGCATGCCCAGCAGTTGAGCCAGGCAGAAAGCCATGCAGTGTGGCAGTGCGGTTTCCCAAGGGTGGGACAAGGCACAGTGCCAGGGGCAGAAGAAATTGGCAGGATTTTCCTCCTGAAACCTTGTCTGTTGTTATGGAAATGAAGCAGATGGAGTAAAAGTAGAGAAATGTGAAGGGATGGAATCTTCTGGGAGATTTTTAAACCAGCTTTGGAAAAGAACAAGCCACACTAACTAAGAGTTTGGATAGGGAGACACCGTACCTTGAAAACATCAGTTCTCTTGTTTTCAGGATAAATTTGATGTAATTCAAGTTAGGATACCAAGGGAGATTTTTTTTTAAACTGAATAAAATGAACTCAAACATTATGTGACAGTGGGCTGGGGATTTAGCTCAGTGGTGCCACCACCTGCCTCACAAGCCCAAGGTCCTGAGTTCAATCCCTGGTACCAAAAAAAAAGTGACAGAATAAATGCCCAAGAATAACCAAGGAAAACTGAAGGAAGAATTGCATGGGGTATTTTGTTTTTCTTTTATTACCTTACTGGAAATAAGAACATGTGCCAAAGCCACTATAATCAAATCAGTATGGCATTGGCAGAGAATAGACGATGGAAAAGAATGCAGCATGCAGAACTGGATCCCAGTCTAGAGGAGAGTGTGACATATGACAAACATAGTATTTCAGGTCTGAGAGAAGAAGGGCACATGTATCATAATGGCACTGGCACCAATGAGGATCCATCTGGAAGACAATAAGCTTGAGTGTGCTGACAGATCAGTTCCAGATGGAGCAAAAATTGAAATGGGAAAAGTAAGTGAGTTTGGATCTTGCAAAAGAAAAAGTGAGATCTGAGCAGGGCTCTGTGCAAAGGCTGGGGGCAATGAGGTTCAGAACATCCTGGGAAAGACAGGAGCTCCCTGTGTGCAGGATGAGGGTGGAGACCTGGGCATCTGTTCATCCCTTCCTGGGCCCAGCCACTTCCCTGGCCATCTGCAGAAATTTTGTCACATGTCTTCATGGCCTGGGAGAGTTCTTCAGTCTTTTCCTCTAAGTCAGTTCCCATCATCATTATTGGTTTTGTTGTTGTTGTTGTATTTTGGTACCCGGGATCAAACTCGGGTCCTTGCACTTGCACAGCAGGCGACGAAACCACTGAGCTAAATCCCCAGCCCAATCAGTCATCATTGTTGTTATGGTTTCATTTTGAGTGTATGTGTGTGTGTGTGTTGCATTTTGTTTTGTTTTGTTTTTTTGGTACCAGGGATTGAACTTGGGACCTTGTGCTTGCAAGGCAGGTGGTGGAACCACTGAGCTAAATCCCCGCCCCCTGTTTTGTTTTGTTTTGCAGTGAGATGGAACCCAGGCCTTCTCCTATGCTATACAAGTGCTCTAGCATTGAGCAGCACCCGTAGGCTCCAAATTATTTCTAAAAGGCAAATTGATATTCCTGAACAAGGCAGGGGTTCCATGGGCCAAAGGATGGCAGAGGACAGGAGACTCAGGACTCCACGCAGGGCCCATCCATACCACCTGCATGGAAGATGGGTTGCAGAGCTGGGCACAGTGGGTCACCCAGCAGAACCCTGGTGCTGGTACTCAAGCAGCCGCATTCAGATCTTCCCTCCAGAACCCCTGCCCCCTGGCCCAGCCAATCAGAGCCTTCCTGGCAGATGATTGACAAATTCAAAGTGTCCCCAGGGAGAGTCCCACCTGAAGGCTGAATGGAACCCTTGGCACTTGTCCTCCTGCCCAGTGTTTGTGCCCACTGCACAGAAGCTGTTAAAACAAAATGGCTTCCTAGGGGAAGGCTACGTTGTCCAGACTCTTGCGACTAGACCTGGTCATGTGACAGAGTTTCTGTTTTGAACACCCGCTGTGTGCCAGCCACCAAGCCAATTATGAACACCCAGGTGAAGGAATGGCAAGAGGCCGGCACTTTGTGGACCCTCGGGAACTGCTGGCTTCCTTCCTGCTCCTCCTATACTCCATCTCACTCCTCTGCCCCCAACCCCAGTGATGAGCTTCACCTCCAGGAAGAGGCCCTGTGGCACAGTTTGATCCCAAATGTCCCCAAGGCCCCTGTGTGAAGGCTTGACCCTCAGCCTGTGGGGAGCCTTAGGGGGCAGGCCCAGCAGGAGGAGGTGAGGTCTCTGGGCACACGGCCTGGAAGGGGTATTAGAACCTTGGTTCCTCCCCTCCTTCTCTCCTCCCTTGCCCTGCATCAGGTACATCATGTGTAACCACAGCGCAACTCCCTGGGACCATGAGCCAAACTCACCTTTGCTCTTTTCAAGTTGCTTAGCTCAGGTATTTTGTCGCTGTGACGGTAAGCTGACCAGCACACTCTGTTTCATTTTCTCCATGGCATCTGTTTTAACTGTTTGTTTCTTTATCCATTCATCTTCCATTTCCCTCTGCTCCAGTATAAAGAACACAAAGACAGGGCTGAGATCCCAGGGTCCAGCCAGCAAAATAGGAACCACTGAAGGGAGGGAGGGAGGAAGGGAGGGAGGAAGGGAGGGAG